AGGAATAGCAAGGTAGAGAGTGAGCTGAGTCTGCTCTTATATGCTTATCTCCTTACACCTGGTTACACTCCTTACACCTTGTAGTACCCTTCAAAGGATTTTGCAGAACCTCCGGATGCCTCACCACCCTGGTTGAGAATCACTGTACTAAGTCCTCACTGGTGCTGTGTTTCCCGTATGTGTTTCTGATACTTCTGGGAATATATCCCACAGTTTTTGTTCTCTAGAGGAATGAAATGCTCTATGCTTTTTTCCCAGTTAATTGTGGGAGAAGCTTTCTTGACACACAAGGAAAATTTTGCAAAGGCACTGAAGGACTAGGAATACTTCAGAAAATTATGATGTGGATACATAAGACATTTAAAGGCAACTTAGTTTGTATACCACTGTAGGTTATATTGGTATCCAGACTGGACAATCAAGTGTCCAGAGATAGCTGCCTGCATTAGGCAGTATTGCAGCACCACACCCTAAGTAGTAGGGGATCCAGTAAGAGCATGCTTGCATTGAGCAAAAGTTGCCTCGGATCACGCTGATTAGAGCAGCTGACACACAATCCGTAACCTGGTATAATTTACATGCGTACACATTTTCTCTTGACTTTCTAGGGAGTAACTTTTTTCTGGTGTGGAGTGACTTACCTTGGTATAGGGCTGTATGTTTTGTGTTTGCGCCACATTTATAGTACTGAAAAGGCAAGTTACATCAGTATAAATGTGTTGTGTGCCCAAACCCTCAGTTTGCATCAATAGGCTCCTCACCTGAGTGTAAGCAGAATTTAGGCTTTAATCCATAATCCCACTGGTGCCAACTAGTTTGTATTGAAAGCAAAAGTTACCTTTCTTCAGATCAGAGGTTTTAATGTGCAGACTGGAGTATGGTTAGAGTCTACACCAAATAAGAGCCTAGGCAATGAAGTCAACCCTTTAGGTGTTCTGCTCTCTAATTGTTTTGCAGGCAGATCAAATTTGCAGTTTTCAAAACTCACAACAAAGGTCTTTCTGGATGCTTGCCTTCTATTGAATCCATGTACTTGCACCACAGATACTTCCTATGGACAAGTGTTTTTTGAGGCAAATTCAAGATCCATGTGGAAACACTGCACTGGTCTGTACCTATCTGCATTTATGCATTAGATACAATTAATTGCTTATAAAAATAGGTCTTGTATAACATTTCCTATCTGCACATAATTCCAGATTTCCATGTATTTGAGGACCTTTGTGCACACAGACCTTTGTCCTACTTTTATAACTAAAATGGCAAAATCTCAAAAATATTAAGTCATAGATCTTTTTTAAAACATACAAGTAATGGACCACATTATAGTCATAACAAATTCATTCTGAATTATAGCTGGTGACATGTCTGTGGTTGCCTGGATGAAGATCACCATTGCTAAGCTCTTCACTTGTCCTGTTTTAAACCATAGGGTCCTTTATGTAATAGGAAGTCAATAGGAATTTAGTGGGAGAGGAGTTAGGAGTTTACTCTCAGCACTTCCCCTCCCAAACAATCTAGTCCCTTTGCATGTTATGGCTAAGTATGGACATTCAAAAAGCCTGAGGCAGAATCAATCAAACTTATGTGGGTTTCTGTAAGCAGCATAGGTTAGCTTGGGAGTGAACAGAACGCACATTTGCCCTTTGGTGGGGGTCGGGCACACAGGCTGCCTGCTCTGGCTGAGGTTGGGGGCCCTCCTACACAACTCCCAGTGGGCTCCTTGCGCTGCCAAAGACTGCTGAGCACAGCCAAGCAGTCAAACAGCTGGGCCATGCCATCTTCATCAGCCACTTGCATGTCAGCTGTAGTCAGGCAGTGGAGGCACTCATCCCCTGCAGCCTGGTCGTGCTCCCTGGGGCTGCACCCACTTCCCTCCCCCCCCCCATCCTTCTTCCCCCCAGAAGTGGGCACAGCCCCAGGGAACTGATCCAAGCAGCAGCCAGACTCTATTTCCCAGCAGCCCCTGCCCTCATGGCTTGGGCCCCAGTCTCCATGGAGACCCCAGCCATACCTGTACCAGGCTGGAATTGCCATGGAGACCAGCCTGAGCTGCGCTGGCAGTGCACATGGCAGAGCAGTGGAGGGGGCTGCCTGGAGCCACTGGGAACTTGGAATGGGGCCAGCTTGCTCTGGAGCCAGGGCAGAGCCACAATCTGCAGCCTGCAAGCTCCAGGAGGGACACGCAGGCAGGGGATCGCAGCTCTATCCAGGCTCCTTGCAGTGGTGATAGCCTGCAGCAGTGACAGCTTGTTGTTGTAAGGATAATTGCAAAAATAATCAGATATTGATAGAAATTATTTCAACTTGTTTCCAGATGTGTTAATGCTTAGATTTTATAAATGAAAATACTCTGATTGAATTAATTTACTTCAGAAAATTTAACCGTAACCTTTAACAAGTTTTATATTTGGAAATGTATTTATATTTTAAATTAAATTCATAAAATGATAATGCTTTGTATAGAATGATTTAAATTGTGATCACATGATTTCCCAAGAGAATGAGGCTCCTTTGTTATTTGTATAGAAAATGTTATAATTCATTTATTGCAGAAACATTAATCTATGGCCCTTTAAACTTTTCATATAGAAAACTAAAGGGATATTAAGCCTTCTTTAATTTAGACTGAATAACATTTTATTATTGTAGAGTTGTGACCTGTTTAATACTTTATTTTAGAATGGTTTGTTCTACAATGAGGAAAGTTTACCTGTTGCGAGCAGTCATTAAGTTATATCTAAACTGACAAAGTTCACCCTAAATGTAGTCTTAGGAAGGACAGCTCTGATTATAAACATCTGTGGAGGAAGTATTCCTGAGTCTGCTCACTTATCCTAAACACAGAAATGTTCCAGTGAAGCCACTCCAGAGGCATCTCTGGATCTCACTGAAGACCAAGATCTCAATATTGATTGCAAGAGGACATCCCCAGAAATCTGAAACATGCAAACAGGGACAGGGGGATGGGGAAGGTGTGCTGTGGGGTTACCTCTGCTGGGATATACTAGGGATGTGGTATAAACCTAAACGCATGTATTTCCTGTTGTCTTAATGAGTCAGCTCCCAAACCATACTACATTCTCAGGATGTACCACATAATTCCTAAATCCTATGATGCACTGCATTGAATTAAAAAATAGGAAGGCCATCATATATTAAGCTGGTGCGAAGCAGCTGTATTCACTTCAGATTCGACCAATTCTGGGGACAGTGATTTGATTCAGTTATTTGAATTACTGTCCCAAATCGATTTAGCCAAATCTGATTTGGAGATTTGGCCGCCACCGAATTGGCCGAATCTCCAAATCAGCCCCATCCCCACCCACTCTCCCAGCCCTGTCAATGTCTGCCCCATCTGGTCCCAGCTCCCTGCTCTTTAAAAAAAATCCCAGCACTCACCTGCTGCTGCCAGGTGGGGGGGGGCAATCCCTGCTGCCCCCCACTGCCCCACGCCACGTGCGGGGCTCTGCCATAAGCAGCCCAACCCCCGCCTGCTCTCCCAGCACCCCTCATGGCTGCTCTGCCCACCCAGCTCCCAGCTCTTTTTTTAAAAGCCCTAATAACAGGCTGCTGCCAAATGGGGGGAGGTGATCCCCACTGCCCCCTACTGTGTGGGGGGCTCTGCCATGAGCCCCCAGAAGGCCCAATGCTGCTGCAGCAGCTGGTGAGTACTGGGCTTTTTTCTTTTTTTTTTAAAGAGCTGG